GCCCTTCAATTAACCCCACATGTGTTTATCGGACAGGTTGGCACAATAAACTAACTACCTCAGTGGGAAAGAAAAATAAAACAATCATTTTGCTGTGCTGTCCAGTCAGTCCCCACTCACAATGACCCTATGCGTTATAGAGTAGGATTACTTCACAAGGTTTCCTAAGCTGTAATTTTCATAGTAGGATGTCCACAGGCCTTTCTTCCATGGAGCCACTGGGTAGGTGCACAATACTAACTTTTAGGTGAGTAGCTGAGCAGTTACCATTTGTGCCACCTATGAAACTTCTATTATTTGTTTAAGATCTACAAATGAAAAGACAATTTCTTAACTCTAAAGACATAAGACTATGGCCTCTAATAGGAAAAACAAAGTAGCAAATATTTAAAGATCATTTTATTGGGGGCTCTTACAGGTCCTATCACAATCCATACATCAGTTGTAGCAAGCATATATGTACATGTGTTGCTGTCATCGTTTTCTAAATATATTTTCAAGGCAAAATATATGTACTTTCTATTTGAACCCTTGCTATTAACCCTTCTTTTTCCCCTCCCTCCCCCCTCCCACCCTCATGAACCCTTGATAAATTATAAATTATTATTGTTTTCATATCTTAAACCATCCGCTGTCTCCCTTCACCCAGGTTTGTGCTGTTCTTCCCCTGTGGGGCAGGGTGCGGGGTGGGGTGGAAATGTTATCCATCGGTCATTGTGATCAGTCAAAGTAAACATTTTGAGTAGTTACTTTGTATTAGAAATCCTGCTAGGTTCTTTATATATAATTCAGTGTCATTGAATAAATTCTGAATCACTGCCACCCTATAAGACAAAGTAGAACTTTATATATAGGTACCTCAAACTCAGCATATTCAAATCATATTCCTTTTTCTTGTATACTCGCAACACACACACACAACCACACACACGACCTATTCTTTCTTTATTCATGTTGTTATTATTCTTCAAATGTATGATAGAACTCCTACAAATTTAGTTCAAATTTGAGACAGTGACACACATATACCAAGATGGCATAAAAATTTTATTACTCACATAATGAGGCTCTCTGGGGAGAGTGGAGTGGGTACCAAAATGGGTCCAAAAATGGCTTCAGATGGCAGAGAAAAAGAGTAGATTTAGGATTTTACGATTGGGGTAAGGCTGAGAGTGTGAGTTTTCATTCATAGGCTAAGACATTGTGGCTTAAACTAACTACTAGCGCCAAAGGAGGGAGCACCCAGACTTGTTTATCAGCTTGCTGTGCTTAGTTAAAGGAAATTCAAGACAGA